AGCAGTCAACAAACAGTTCAACGGAGCGTAAATACACTCGTTCAGCAAGAAGTCAGCAGGTCGCACCGGAAAATTGTGTATTCGTAACATTAAAACGAACGTTATGATACAATGTGAACGACAATTACAAAGTGTCGTTTAAGCTCAGGAAGAATGGTAAATGTGACAACGGATTACAGTCACTACAGGCCCACTACGCTGGTCGTCTGGTGCTGAGCCATGTTAGGTGGGAGCCGCCAACTCACCTACTTTCCGGATGCGTCGTACCGATAGTGACCTTGGGGATGCGTCACTCTCTGCACATGTACTTTTTCTCCTGTCTGGGCGCGCCCTGACATTAGTCAACAGATAGATGTCTACAAACACACTCTCCTGCCTGGCCAAGGTGCGGTTGCAACGAACGCGGCAACCTGTCCCTCGTAAGCTAGATGGCTTTCATGCCAACTGCCGCTGCTCTACAGTTAGGCTTTTGGGTCAAAGGCTTCGGTTGTGGGTTAAATCGTCCTTTTCTGTAGGTGTAGGCGTTCTGGTATTATTAAAGTGTGCACATAACCGTGAAATATACAAACCAACCCACGTCAGCCGTCACCGGTAGCTTCATTCGTTGCATATATCGGCGCAGTCAGGTGAAAACTTCTCCACTCTCCGTCTTTGTTTATTGTTACCCGCTCTCCTATCTCGCTTATTCGTCACTCTTTCGTGGATCCCAGCAATTGCTACATCATCCTTAAAAGTAGCGAGTACACAGCATCACCCATATATGCCACTTCGCCTGCGGTTTCAAGAACTTATCCTGTCTTTATTCCAGCCCTGCGAATCTTAACCAAACTTGCCAGTCAGCTACTCTTGCGCGCCCTCTAATGACCTCATTGGTGCACTCCTAAAGCCCGAATACAAGACTCAGTCACAGTAATTGGACTTAGGAACATTTGCTATGTAGGTGCTATGCGCTACAGCCTTCATCAGAGCCATCAGCTCGCAAACGAAGGTTTTTTTGTAAACCCTCAGAGGGGAGTTTCCCCAACACCTGCTTGGACAACAATATCCTTGTTGACAGTGATATTGATGCTGGTGCTTCATAGGGTGAAGACCTGGGCTGGTATGTCTTAACTTCCAGATGCTTGATTTGTATTTATTGGCTGGATAACCCTGTTCGTCTTGTAATGCAGTGAATAGGGAACAAAATGATGGCCACTTCTAGGCAATCTCCTTCTCCTGGTAGTGATTGCGTTAGTTTGAGCGAACGTGCACCAGGTAGAAGCATATCTGAGTGTAAGGCTAGTCTTGACTGTGTTGCTAAATTTCACATCCCATTCAATGATATTCGACCGGAATTTTTATCTTCGTGCAAAAATACGTGCATCTCGGCACCTATAACACTCCATGGCGAAATTTTTCGTGATTTCCCCGTTTCTACTGCCTTCAAATAATGATTCTTCGTGTATTGATTGTCCGAATACTATGCGGCTGTGCATTACTCGCGCAGATAAGTTCCTCTGCACTTTCCGAATTCGCTTCACCTATTTACGATCATCATGTTGATGAAGTAATGTACTAGTAACTCTTAACATACGGAATGAAGTATGAAATACAGACCAAATTCGCGTTAATAAGACGGTAGAAAACTCCGAAGACCTATCAGCCGTACTGCAGACTATCCTAGCATGTCCGTAGGAAGTCACAGAAAGACTCTGAAACACAAGTGAAACGAGGTGATCTCCAATAAACGACTTCCATCACATTAATGGTCAAGGAGGACCAGAACTCTGAGTGCAACGCCGATACGCGGCGGCTTCGACGCCGTTCCAAAAAAGTCTAGTCATAAAAGTTTAAAATGTCGTTCAGCGCTATCGCTTATGACATACTAGATTGCAACGATTTCAACAAACTAAACCAGTCTTCCATAGTCATCAGCTATCAGGACAATCGCGCCTTGCTGAAGCCTCGAAAATTCAAAT